ATTTGAATTTGATGTTTGTATGTATTTTGTGTGGATAAGTTTAGTAGTTGATAACTGTATGTATAAGTTTATTAATATATTTTTGAATTGTAGGTGGTGGACTATACCAATATTGCTGCCATTATTTGCATTTGTAGTCGTAGGTGGACTATATGAATGGTGTTTGATCGGTTTTAGATGAATTGCTAAAAAAATGTATAGCTCAATCTCTTATGCTTTTATTCCGATGTTGTTTTGTGGGGTCTGACATCCTGATCTAGGGTTTACAGGTAGATTGAGCGGAGGATGGCACGAGACGAAATATTCGCGCATGAAGGATTCTTAATCGACTACGTGTTCAATAGTCGATTAAGGTTTCATCGACTATGTTCATTCAGACAGGGCCACGGGCACAAGTTATATTGGGCCCGGACACGACCCGACGACCGCCGCGCCCCGCCCCGTTCACAAATATTACTAAAAATGCTGGGTTTGGGGCTTCATCCCGGGATGCCCGAGTAGTTTAATAGAGTACTAACCACTCGAGAAAAGTAAGTTATCTTATATATAAAATAAAGAAACGCTAGGGCAACCCTAAGAAACGCTCATGTCATATTTGTAATTTTTTTTTTATTATTTTCGATTTTTATCAAATTTTTATCTCCTAAATATTATTTTCGAATTTTATAAGATTTATATCTCCTAAATATTATTTTAAATTTTATTTTAAATATTATTTTGGATTATAATCTGATTTTTATCTCCTAAATATTACTTTTTATTTGTATAAGATTTTTATCTCCTAAATATTATTTTCGATTTTTATTAATTTTTTATCTCCTAAATATTTATTTAATTACTATTTTATAATTTTATCAAATTTATGTCTCCTAAATAAATTTAAATATTATTTTCGATTTTTAGCAGATTTTTATCTCCTAAATATTATTTCCGATTTTTAATAGCTTTTTCTCTCCTAAATATTATTTTAAATATTATTTTCGATTTCTATCAAATTTTTTATCTTCTAAATATTATTTTCGAATTTTATAAAATTAATATCTCCTAAATGTTATTTTAAATATTGTTTTCGAGTTTTATCAGATTTTTGTCTCCTAAATATTATTTTCGATTTATAACAAATTTTTGTCTCCTAATATTATTTTCGATTGTTATCAAATTTTTATCTCCTAAATATTAATTTAAATAACATTTTCGATGTTTATCAAATTTTTATATCCTAAAGATTATTAAATAATATTTTTGATTTTTATCATATTTTTATCTCCTAAATATTATTTTAATTATTATTTTCGTATTTTATACACTTTTATCTCATTAACATTATTTTTAATATTATTTTCTGTTTTTATCAATTTTTTATCTCTTGAATATTATTTTAAATATTTTTTTTCGATTTTTATCTCCTAAGTATTAGTTTTCGATTTTTATCTCCTAAATTTTATTTTAAATATTATTTTCGATTTTCATCGAATTGTTATCTCCTAAATATTATTTTAGAATTTATCAAATTTATATCTCCTAAATATTATTTTAAATATTGTTTTCGAGTTTTATCAGATTTTATCTCCTAAATATTATTTCGATATTTCTTAGATTTATGTTTCCTAAATATTATTTTTGATTATTATCAAAATT